CGCAGGGTAGCGTTACTCTGAGCGCTGCCTCAAATCCATCTGATAGTTTGTTTTGCTTTACCCGGTGATCAAAACCAGCTGCAGCGCGTAACAAAATAGGATTTGTGTGTGTGTGTGTTCTCTCTATTGTTTAGCTTTGTTTATGTTTACAAAAGAACAGAAGAGACACTGGTAGAAAGTCACGGCGCTCTGTTGTGGGTCTGCGTGATGACTTGAGGTCGGGATTGTGTTTGTTCAAAATCACTTTGCATATCAACTGACTGGGTTGTGCTCTCGTGTTTGGACCTGGTCAATATGGAAGGCCATTCATTTAAAAACTGAAGGTTAAAGCTGTCAGCGTCTTCATTTTTCTTTTTTTGCTGAATGCATACACCTGTGGTTTACTGAGAAACTCGAGGGGGGGGCAGGGGCTCTACTCCAGCCTGAATGTGTTTTATGTGAACAATAAACGGCTGTAACACGAGAAAACGGTGTAATTTTTATGATTCTCGTTTAAAAGGCAGGTGTTCCCCTATAACCAGGCAGTAGTCCTGTCATTGACGCCAATTTTTCATATTGTGACTAAGCTGTGTGAAAAGGTGACAGCAAAAGCGACACGCTGACGCACAAAAGAGGGTGGGGAAGTTTATTTTCCAAAAGAAAGTACAGACTGAAAAGTGAACGTTGAAAAGTCAGCTATCTATGCATCTGCACACCTGCAGCAAAGCAAAGGGCCACCAGGCACCAGTGTGGGTTCAAGCACAGTGTTTGCGTCAGGTTAGCGCTGATGAAAGTCAGAGTCATAGAAGCCAAAAACACCAGTGCAATACTAATTTAACAAACACAGTTGTCCTTTAAAGACTTCTTATTATAATGGCAGGCATTCCCCTGTAACTGTATCATACCTGCTGATAACTGCAACCAAACTGGGGCTTTTTTTGTTCCTTCCTTGGAATTAAAATCAAGATAAACAATATTTAAATGTTATTCTGACTTTGTGACATGAAAACAAACAAAAAAGCAATTTAGAGATGGCTAATTTGAAATATTAGCATTTTTATTATAAACAAATAGGTTTTTATTGCAAATATGGAGGCTTTATGCAAGATTATTTCTACCCTCCCAAAAAAATAAAACCCAACCAAAAATTTGGGATTTTGTAATCAGAAGTGTTTTTCCTAACAATGGGCTCCCACAGACCAAATATTTGGTGCAACATGCAAAAAGAAGTCAGACAATAAATGTTTAATTTCCTTGAAGAAATGTAATTTCCCCCAAGATACTGATTGTATTACAAGATAGACTACAGTCAAACACTGGTGTAAGCAAATAATTGAGAACTTCCTGTCAAATTTATTAACTAGACGCCTAAAGTTTAGCTTCGTGGTCCTTGTTCAGAGATAAAGGGGAGTTATGGTGATAAATACTGCGGGGCTCAGTGTTGAAACCAAGAGGAAAGCATCTGGAGGTGAGACAAAGCTATTTCTGTGGAATATCTCTGAGAGATCGACATGAACGTGGGCACACGGCACATTGGAGTGGTGGAGTCTGGCATGTGTGTGTCCGGTTTAGTTTGTTGTGTGTGGTTGATTGCAGCACGGGCACGATTCATACAACCACATCGCATGAGTAAAGAGGCCACATACAGAGAATGAGGGCAAGACTAAAATTAGCTCTGAGCAGAATGGCACAAAAGATGAGTGTTTACGTTTTTAGAGAGTAATATCAGGATTTTAATGTCAAAATCTGCGGTGTCACACATATGTACATGTTTTTAATGTTTTTGGCTCCTGACATCAACAGAAGCTCCTTTTTAAATTGCTAACAGTAGCTGGTGTGTAACATGTTAAACCAATCTTTAGATTTGAACAAAAGCCTCTGACAGAGCAGTCTGTCACAGCAGCCTGCACACAGCAGCGCCATAGTGAGGAGGTCATCCTGCTAACATCCAGCACTGTTGACCTCCTCTGTAGCGCCACCAGTAAAGGTGCTTCTGATAAACCCATCCAGGATCGTTACCTGTCGCCCCGGTAAGTGAACGTGTCGCCTCACGTCCGCAGCGTACCCAACAGCACTTTCTTCAAAATCAGCTACTGGCGGTTTTTCTGGTTCTTTTCTAGCGTTGCCTAATTTGAAACTAAAAAAGGATAAAGGACAGCATGAATGGCATGCTCGGAAGGCACTGTGAGGCATTCCTGTGATGTTCCTCAGATGGCATCATGTCATGACAGACACCTGCACGTACGCGTAAAGCTGAGCTTAAGCAGCCCGGGCCTGAGGATCAACCCGTGCGGAGGAGAGTCCGTGCCGTCAGACTTCAGGCATTCCGAAGGTTGACTCAGTGATACTCACATCAAAGGGGGGGTGCAGTTTCGAACAGTGTGTGCTGGGCTACGCGGTGCATTTCGGCGATTTTACGCCCATTCTACTCTCAGGCATGCTCTGCCTTATTGTGTTTCCTAATCTTAACACGGCGCGCACGTCCGCTTTGTACGTATGCCACACCTGAATGACGCAGTTTCCTTGGCAGGATTCCTGGGACATGCAGGTAGGACAAACTGTGAAAAACGTGACGAGCCATTCATGCAGGTTTACTACGAGTCCTCTGCCCTGTTTCCACAGGAGGCACATCTGAGAGCAGCCTGGCACAGTGGCACACAAAAGACTGATCAGTGACCAACTGCTCTGAAGATCCTTTAACAGAGTAATAAAAACAAACTTTATTCTTTACTTTTCACTTGCATATAAGTAGAGAGCGCGCGCAATGAAATTCACCGATCAATATAAAAGTTCAGATCATTTTAAAAGAAGTTTGAAAGCTTGAGGAAAAGCAGGCGGAAGAGCAGAGGATGTGTTTCGTCACGCTGCCCCGACACGGCCACCTGGCGTCAGCCATTAGGCTGTCTGCTCCGCTGGCACCGTGTGGGCAGGAAAAGCAGACGCTTCTGCCAAATTATGCTGTTAAAATACCCACGCGTGATTTAGGTTCAGCTCGGGGCACGGAGATGCGTTTGTTCCATCTGAGAAACAATACATCATCACGTGGTAATTGTTTGAGCCGTTTTATTTAGGTGATTGTAAATCATTAACACCAGGAGCCGAGCAAGTGTTGATGCTTCAGCCAGACGCTCCGCTCGACCAGCCGAGGCCCACATCTCTGCTCTGAGTTATGAGGAGTCTGAAGCTGCTGATAAGCCCGTTTGATCCGGACATACCAAAGCACAACAAAGGCCTTTAAAACTGGGGCTACCACGGTTATGACGTGTGCGCGCGTGGAAACGTGTACGGCAGGGTTAAGGAGACTATGCTGGTGCAGTCAGACCACCGAGGCTTCTGAATGCAACAAGTTGGAAAATGAAAACGTTTGGTTGTTTGCTGTGTGTCTTTTGTTTCTATATTCGCATTTATGTATGTGTGTGTGTGTGTGTGTGTAAGCAGGTACAAGGTCTGCAAATGAGTCCTGTACACGTCCATGACACCAGCTGCATTTTATTAAATGTAGCTGTATTAATATGCTAATATTTATTTATTTACTTCATATATCCAACACGAACCTGTTTATTATTTACGCTCCTCATAGTAACATTTATATTTTTGTAATCTAATATTGCCAAACATCAACATGCTTATCTGTGAGCTGTAAAATACTCTGCACTGAATAATTTATGTCCATAAAAAAGAAAAATCATCTCAATTATTAAAAGTATTAAATTAAAACTTAACTATCTGACACAGGATGTCTCCTAATTCCTGACAGGAAGGGCACATCTTCTCCAGGTCTAAGTTTGACATCACATTGTGTATATAAACGGCATATTGTAGCACAGCTGTCGTCCTAAACAGGCCATTATGTCACTAAATCCTTCTCTGCGATCTGATGATGGGGTTTGGAGCTCGTTTGGCTTTTCCATGTTTTAACGGGGTGACTTTTCTTTGCAAGGCATCTTTGTACCATTTGGTGCGCCTGCTCACTCCACTGTGCTCTGACACGATGCCGTGACGGCTGCTGACAAAAACGAAGGACCTTAATGTGATTCTGAATTAGAAAAGAAAGAAAAGAAATCCACATCGTCAGCATAATGTAATGAGACAGAATGTGAAAGGAACTAAGTGGATAACCAAATGCAGAGTGGGCTCGCGGGTGGGCGGGTGTGGGATGAAGTCAGTGATGTTCAGCATCCCTGGGTGTTTAGCGTGCTGAAAGGAGGGGCACAGACTGGAGAGGGAGGGGGTGGCGAGCCATAGGCAGGCAGGAGGGTGCTAAAAGAAGCAGCGCCGCCAGATTTAACTGTAATATCGTTTGTACAGCATATGCAGAGACCAGCCAGAGGACAAAAGCAGTGTCACTGCTTAACTATCAGTCCCCCAACCTGTTTAGACAGGCAGCATTTGCATGTTCGGTTTTCAGCCAGAGCCCAGGGGAAGGGTGGGGTGGGTGGAAAGAGTCATCTTCATGGTGCTGTGGGTGTGGCTGCTGTGGGAACGGGACAGGACTCGGCACAGGTCACACGCCTGACCTCAGGACACAAGATCACGCTGTTCAAACACGCCCACCAACACTGGGCTTATTTTTCATAACCACACAGAAGTCATGTGACGTTTCATAAACATTAAAGTATTTATCGCTTTAAAATACTGCAGCTGTCTGTTCCAAAGCACAGGGTGTAATGTATTTAATATGCAGTAGAGTGTTAATGATCATTTAAAACTGATGCAGTATTATTTTACTACTTCACGGAGACGCTGCTCAGATTAAGTCGACTTAATTTGTGACGAGAGCCCAAACTCAGCAGAAGCTTCGCTTGGAATCTGAAATGGAGATGATGTCAGTGCAGAGGGCGAATCAGTAACGTGATAACTGTTTGGATCTGAAACATCAGACGTGGAGATCGGAGTTGTGATGGACTCTGTATCCTCACAGTCCCAGTTTCTTGGCTGACACGTGAGATTCTTCGGAGGCCTGAAGGTAAACGCCACCCTGGGTAGTCGAGACTTCTCGAATAATGACCAGAACACAAATCCTCCTTTTAATAGACTTTATTTAGAAGAAGTAGAATAAAAAAAAACAGTGTGTACACCTTTAAAAATAGCACAGGTACAGACATATTAAACAACAAATACACTTACACGTAAAATATAAACAGAATTTGTAGACAAACATGCGCACACACAGACACACACTGTATTTGCCAAACGGGGGCTCCCTCATGGAACAGGACGTGCCGAATGTGCCAAGAAAAGCACTTTTTAAGCCAGCGAGCCATTCCAGCGTGAGTCTGCTTCAGCGGGACGTTTGCAGCTTTTGCTCTATTCTCGAAAAAGACCTAAAATAAAACGTGTCTGTGCAGCACAAGCATTCGCTGGTCAAGCAATGATTTTCAGCTTTGTGTAATTACCGATGTGTGGCTGTTGGAAAAAACAAAACAAAAAAAACACCCCCTCGAAGAGCTGCTCCAATAAAATGCAGCAAAAGTACATATTGAGCAAGAGAAGAAAGTTCTCAGTAAAGCAGAACAGGGAAGTGTGAAAGGGAAGGAGAGCTGGGGAAGCACTGCATGTACCGTACCGACACAGAGTGTCACAACATGATGTGTTGCAATAAGGTGTGCGCTGTCTGGATTCTCTGGAAATTCAGGAGGAAAGAGCCAACTCTCACACGGACGCAGACGTGCACGTAGAAGTACATCGCTGACATCATTACGTGTGCATTTGCAAACATGTGAATTCACAGTTCCTCACAGAAAAACCCTCACAGACGTCAGCGCGGAGGAAATAAATAACAGACCCGTATCGCCGGCGTTTCACAAGCGGTTGGGATAAAGGGAAGTGACATCGTGGCACACACCTCTAAATGGGAACTGATGCTAACTGAAACAATGACAATAACAGAAGGAGGACAAAACAGGATGCTGGTCAGATGAAAGAGCCCGAAATGTCAGACAGCCTACAGACTGTTGTCGCCTTGCAATCTTAACAGCCAACACCAGTCTGATAAGCTATCTGACAGGCCGAGAGTGTGACGGACATGCCTGAGACGAATGCTTGTACAGAACGACAACAATGAAAGGGGGGGAGAGAAAAAAGGAAAAGAGAAAGAGCCCTAATCCTACTTACCACGACAGGAGAGAGGAGGAGACGTGAATGTTCTGCTGGAGCCGGTGCAGAGCGCAGGCTTCAGCTCAACAGTGCCCCTCTGTTTCGAATCTACTCGAGTGATTCGTCTCCTGGCTCCGTGACTCGGGCAGTGCAGCGAGTTCATTCGAGGGTTCAGCTGAGGTAACGGCACAGACGCTGTTCACTGTGCACTTGAGGGTTTTTTTCCCCCCGCTGCTCTAGCACCCGCTGCGCTCAGTCCAGCGTAGCACGACAGCGGCACAGAGAAGAAATAGCACATTTCACTGGCAATTACTGAAAAAAGGAAGATAGCGCGGACGCCGAGAGCCAACTGTCGTTATCCAGGCAGCAAAAAAAAAAAAGAAAGCGCTTTTGCTTTAAGAGCCGCTCGCGTAATATCAAACACGAGCCTGGCGTCCTCGTGCGGGAGAAGAGGGCTTTAAAAAAAAGAAGACAAAGAAGAACATCTGACATCATAACAGAGATCGTCTCTAAGTGTGAGGGATCGGCGGCTATCGCTCCGACTCGCAGGCTGAGTGAGCGCCGTCTGCTTTAATCCATAAAAGACAAAAACAAAAAAGGAGAGCAACAAATGTGGCGGCCGTGCCGACACGACCTACTATCTCCGTCTTGCTCTCGCACACAGGCACGCGCACAGTTGTAGATCTGATTCAATATACGGCTGCATCTGGTAAAGTAGCCCCGGGCTGAGTCATGCGCTCTCTTCCTGGAAGCAGAACAATAAGGGCAGACAAAGGGACCAGCGGGTGATTCATGGCTGATTTATCATTTCTCTCCAAAAGTACTACAGAGCGCTTTACTGTACACACAAAAGAAGCAGTTGTCTAAAGCACCAGTTACAACTGGAACCATCTATTAACATCTCTACTACAATTAACGTGGAGCTCAACAATATTTAGAAATAAGAGGAGTGACAGCGAGCTCCAGTCCAGCATAAATACAGGCTTCCTACGAGATACACAATAAGTCTTTGTTTCTTAACCAAATCAAAAAACAACAAACTCTGTGCTGGTTTTATCAGATACGACTCCAACGATGCTTCTTCAGATTACACAAATCCAGTGGAATAAACACCAGTGGAATAAACAGTGCAGCTTAAGGCCTACTGTGGAGAATTATCACGTGGAGCTCCTAAAAGCACCAACATTAATGCAATTTCCACGCACTCACATGCAGCCCAGCACCTACCTTACACACAACTATCACAGAAATCACTACCAAATGCAAAACAAGCAGATAGAGTCCAAGTCGCTAATACCACGAGAGAGAAACCAGATGGGGCTCATGTTTCCCTAAATGCACAGCGGGGGATGAGCCGGGAGGAAGAGCAGATAGGAGGAAAGGAAGCAGCCTGGAGGTGATGGACCGATTCGAGCCGGCCTTCACTCCGCCTTGCTCTCCGAATGCTTCTCCTGCCGTTTGCGCTTGGCGTAGCTCTGAGCCATGGAGTTGACAATGGAGCAGACAAAGAAGCATACCATGATGACCACAAGCTTCTCAAAGAGCCAGGACAGCCAGCTCTCCTCCTGCCAGGAACCACAGAGAACAGAGGAGAGGAGCTCCGTCAGTGAGCCCCACAACAAGCCCCACACTCTCCCCTCTGCTGATGCTGTAGGCTAGGTGGGGATCCAGCTCCATGTGCAGGACAGATAGAGATCAGGGGTAATAAAACACGCGGCAGCCCCCACCGTCCTCCCTCTTAACGCCCCCGCTGACCCCAGCCTGCAGCCTGCCTCCACCGAGCTAAATTGCCTCGTTTCTAGCCTGTAACTGCTGAAGGCTCAAGTTACAAGAAAAAAGGAACATTGTTCTAGAAATGCCTTAATCTGTCCTTGTGCAACTCAGTCGATCCTTTTCTGCTTCCTGAATTCAAAGGAAACATATTTTCACTCAGTCACTTGAATCGTACAGAACGGGAGAAAAGTGGGAATAAAGAGCCGGAGGAACAAAGTTTTCAAAGACAAATAAGCTACAACTGGCTCTTTTTCCCCCCAGATGGGGGTTTTGATGGATTGTCACTAGCGGAGGGGGTGGGCGCCGCGCTCCACAGTCAGTGCCGGGTTCAGGCGGGGCACCGAGTGCAAGTGTTTGTGTGTGACACATAGGGGAGTGACCACGCTCGGACGCACTCTCCCAATTGGTAAGATGGAGCATGAGTCAGCAGTGCTACAGTAGTACACTTCAATACAGCGAGCGAAGCCAGACCCCACACTGGCCCCTCTCCCCCCTCTTTCTCCTCCCTGAACTCGAGCCCGCCCAGCCCGCCCTCAGCTACTTTGTCATTCTAGCCCTAAACAGGCCCGTGTCATTTCCACAGATCACACACACAACTTTGGATTATGAAATAATCATTTTTAAATGAATAAAAGTTAAACAGGTGCGCCCGTTATAGAAAACGGGTTAGGCATAACAAAGTGGAGGGAACAAAAACAGTGAAAGTGGGGTGCGCTCCACTTTTTGTTGCAAACATGAATGAATAGCGCCGGGCACCGAGGCCCCCGTACTTACAGCTGGGATCCCCTCTCCGCTGAGATGGTGCAGCTTGGCCTTCTGGGCCTCCAAGTACTCCCTGAAGGGCTTCTGCAGTGCCGCACCCAGCAGTGGAACAGCTCTGTTTCCACCAACAGGGGTGTGGGGGTTGGTGGTGTTGGTGGTGGAGGAGGAGGAGGAAAAAGAGTGGGGGGAGGGGGGTGCAGAGAGAGAAAGACAGAGGTAGAGGGTGGAGGGGGGATGCATTGGGGAAAGAACAGGGAGGGGGTGGGGTTGCGGGGCACAAATCACATCACATCATTGTTACTCACCAGCCCAAGGGCAGCAACAAAGGGAGGCACGCCGTCCTGTCTCCTGTACAGTGTCGGCCTCGCCTGCTTCCTCTCTCCGAGGAGAGAGAGACGGAGAGCAGCGAGTGCGATCCCTTCATTGCTCATCCCCACACACACACACACACACACACACACAGAGAAACACACTACCACAGCTGTAAAAACAAAAGAAAAAAACAGCAGCACTCTGAAACAAACTGAACATTTTAAAAATCAAAACAAAAAGAAAAAAAAACAGATTAAAACAGCTGAAGTAAAGTTGGCCGGCTCGCAGTCGACAGCTGCAGTAGTCACCCACATTCTCCCACTCCGCTGTGTCTCACACTCCCCTCCCTCTCGCTCACACACATCGGTGAACTCGTTCAACTCCCCTGCAGTGCCTCCTCTGCCGCTGCAGCGAGGAGAAATGAATGACTTCTCAGAACTCTCACATTTATCACAGGCGGTTCCTGTAAGAACTGGTTTCAGCCAATTAATGAGGAAGTGAGTCGTACCCACGCTGTGTCATCACTGGCTGAGACCTGGGGGATGGCCCACAGGGGGAGGGGACTCCAGTAAGACGGCCCATATTAGGAAAACCCTTTACAAGGTTTAGCCACCAACTACAAGATACTACTGAACCCCCCCTCTCTCTCTCTGTCACACACACACACACACACACACACACACACACACTGCAGAGAATGCCCTAGAATAGCAAATCAGTGGCCCATCCCTTGGCTGGAGTTAGTGATTAATCACTGAACAAATACATACTAAAGACCTGAACTTCTTCTGTTTTGTAGCGCTGCACCGTCAGCTACATCCTCTGAGCTTTTGTTTCCCTCGGCTCCACGTCTGTGTCTTTTGTTCGTACTGGGACGGCATCTTCAAAGCTCAGAGACCCATCAAAGATTTTCAGACAGGTTTGCGTGGGCAGTCGTGTCACATACGGTTGAGTTTATAGCCGATAACTTTCTCTGGAGGAGGCTTGTCATTTCCGTCCCTCCCTACCTCCACGCACATACAAACGCACACAATCTACACACACCTATCTGCTATCTGAGGGTGAGAAAAAAAGATTGTGTTAAATGATTGAGTTAAGAACGAGGAAGCCTTTTAGTAATGATTAACTTTATAACAGGTAATGGATATCCTACACGTGAATGGTTACAAAGCAGACAGGAAGTCTAACAGATGGATCACGCTTTGAATTACACAATAGAAAATGCAAAGGACACACTATCAAAAATCTTTTTGGAGGGAAACAAAGCCTCTGCTATTCCCATCCCCCATGTCACAAAATTCCTCTTACATTCTCACTCTCTCACACACACACACACACACACACACACACTCTTACCAAACTTATTTAAAATATAAAACCTGACTCTGAGCACAACAACTAGAAAACACACGAGTTAAAAGCAAATAAAAGTAAACACGCAAGAACAAAGAAGGGAAGAAAGCGTTTTCAGAAATGGCGGGCGAATCATCTCCTACACGATGAGCAACACTGAGTCATGAGCAGGGCAAATCCACCAACAAAGAAGCTTAAAGCTGGAGTCTAACACAAGAATTTAATGGCAGAGTGAGGACGCTCTCCTGGTCTTCACATTAAATGTGACTTTGTGTTTTTTGGGGAATATATTTTCACTTTGCGACACAAGGTGCTGAGAAATTGTTGGATTTAAGAATTCCTACTGTAAGTGTGTTTGTAATTTACCTGTGAGTGTGTGTGTGTGAAGATTAATGACTTTCTGATACCTAAAATAAATGAAAGATTCGTGTCACCTGTGCATGAATTATCTACATGTTAGCCAAAGTTGTGAAAGCTGCATTTAGAGATGTTTCAGAGTTAAAGTGGCGAAAAACAGCAAAAGGATTAAATGTGACAAAGAATGAGCCTGAAAAACTTTAACAGCAGCTTTGCTGAAATTCTGTGTGAGCAGTGAAGAGAAACTCAGAAGCTCTGAGGCCTCGAACAATCAGCAAATAATGTAATTAAACAAACTACCTAATACACTTTTTTATGCACAGAGTCTCAGTTTTACATTAAAAGCTCCTGTTAATTTATTATGTCGAGTAGAAAATGCTCATTAAAAAACTGTTGGCCATGTCTAAATTTTCTGGTTTTCCTTTATTTAGTAAAAATATTAGTAAAACTGCATGTCAGCAATAATTCAGCTCATTGAACTATAAAATACTTTAAGTTGTTGTATTTTATTGAAATAATCAGCTTCAACATGAACAATAAAATGACAGATTTGTCCATCAGCTTGTCCTCGTGTAATGATAAAAACTGGAGCAAAGCTTTGTGTATTTCACATGAAAATCATCTGTGTTCACATTCAGAGACATCAAACAGCAGAGACACATTTATAAAAGGAACAAAACAAAAATGAAACAGAAGAACACTTTTGTTACTTTATTCTTCTAAAGACAAATTTGTGTATTATTGTTAAGTCCTAAAATGTAGCTGCTTCTTCAGTCATAGAAGGCTCCGTGCATGAACACATCAACAATAATTAGAATTAAATTGTTACCTTCAAAAGAAAAAAAATAAAGGCTTTAAATTTAAAGCACAAATTAGTGAAAGTTTGTTTTGTGTGTTATGTGGATATGTTCACACAGCAGCACAAATGAAGTGTTCTTATATCTAAATCATCAGCTTATTAATAATCACCATCAAACAGTTTCCATTTAGTCAACTGAGTAAATACATCCTGTCATAAATTATTATAATACAGCAGTCAACACTAAATATGTAAAAGAATTAAATTCATTTATTATCATCTGTGTTGTGAACTGTTGACAATAAGAGGCGCAGCAGGAGGAAAGCATCAAAGCTGTACAATATTTTATTCATCATCTGAAAGAAAATCCACATTTGGAAACGTCTTGTATGTGATGAGAGTTCAAGACTTAAATGTTTGGAGCTCTTTTATATGATACAAGTTTAAACAAAATTACTTTGCTGCCTTTTTTCCAAGAATGCTTTTAATCAAGCTGATCAGCATTTCTGAACGTGAGGAGCTCGTCCACAGATACAGGAGAAACCAGGCCATCCTCTTACTAAACCACTAAACCAAATCACTTTTTCCATTTTTCCAAATACTTGTGAGTGCGGTCACACTGTGCATCTGTGTAAAATAAACACACGGACAAAAGGCAAAACACTGACAATCAGAGTGTTTAGTAAAATCCAACATTGCTCAGTTTTAGGTCAGAACATCAAACCCCAGTCGAGGTACCAATTTCATCCTGGGGAAAAGCCACTGCCATCACCGTCCACACCTCTTCATCTGCTTCAATTATTTAAAAATTCAATGACTTAAAAAGAACATTTTTATAATTCTGCTGAAGCAGGTAAAATTATATTAATGCTAAATGTTAGAAAAATAATGTTGAGTAAAAGAAAACAAACATTTTCTGTCTCTGAAGTGCATCAAGAAAATCTTTATTTAATCCTCACACCTGGAAAAACGAAGGACTGTAGGTGACGAGCAAAGAAAACGTGTTTGCTGGATTACGTGAACGTTGTGAAATTATTCATTGCATCAAACATGCAAATTAAAAAAAAACCTGATGTGTGCTCAACTTGTCATCACTTTCAGTTGCACTAAACCTGTAACAACCTGCGACGTGTCTGTTCTTTAACTGTGAACAAGGTGCAACCTGATCAATAATCAGGAAAGAAAGGATGGGGGGGG